AGCCATAAGGGACTCTTAAAAGTAGGAAACAAACTGAAGGTTGCTGGAGGGGTGGTGGGTGGGGAGATTGGGTAACTGGATAATGGGCATTAAGGAGAGCACTTGATGTAATTAATGAGCACTGCATATATGCAACTCATGAATCACTAAATTATACCCCCAAAACTAATAATGCACTATAGGTTAGCTAAATTGAATTTAAATAAAAAGTTTTAAAAAAAGAACATGTAAAATCTCTTAAAACTTAATAAGATAAAAGAATAAAATAGCAAAAAAATGAGACTGCATTTGCTGATGGGAATAATCCTGTGGATAGAGAAGTTGAAGATGTGAGAAAGAGGATAACTGAATGAGCAGTGTCTTTGGGGAGGCAAGAAGAAATGGGCTACAGTTCACAAAGGGAGAATTTGACTTCAGATAAGAAGAAAGGAAACTCATCCATTGTTAACAGGAGATAGAGAATATAGGTATAGATACAGGAAGTTGGTCAATGGGGTAGTGGGAAAATAAGGTGGTTCTCATTTAATTGCTTCTTTTCTCAGTGAAGTAAGAAATGAGGTTGTCAGATGAAAGTGAGAAGTGGGTAGGAAAGTTGGAGGACAGGGGAAGATGTGAAATAGTCCCTTCAGAAAGAATATGTCAAACGGATGAATAGAAGAGCTATATCTAGCCATTTAACCATTATTTAAAATGTTTCTATGAGAAAATGCATTCTTCGCTACAATGAGGGAGTCTAGAACACATTCTTACTCCTCACCAGTGTGTGTGTGTGTGTGTGTGTGTGTGTGTCTCTAAGTGTAAGTAAAGGGGGATAATGGTAGGAGGTAGTAATTTCCAGCTACAAGAAGCCATGTTAACTTTCTATACTTATGTAAGACAACCCCTTTAGGACTGAACAGTTGCTTCCCCCAGACATGGTGGGGGTGACCTCAGAGTCAGACTCCCTTGCTCCTTTCCTGCATATGGGTTAATTTTTTTTTTAAGATTTTATTTATTTATCTGACAGAGAGAGGGAACACAAGCAGGGGGAGTTGGAGAGGGAGAAGCAGACTCCCTGCCGAGCAGGGAGCCTGACATGGGGCTTGATCCCAGGACCCTGGGATCACGACCCGAGCTGAAGGCAGACACTCAACGAACAACTGAGCCACCCAGGCGCCCCTTGCATATGGGTTAATTTGCTTTTAAGCTCAGTGTTCATAAATCCAGAGCAATCTATATTTCAAGACAGTTTCTTTAAGAAATAAAGAAATAAAATTATGTCAAGCCAAGTGAAAAGAAGACTTTGGAAGGGGAAGTTCATCATTGCTTTGCATTTTTTTTTTTAATCTTCAGCAGATTTTATTATCTAGTTCTTAGGGAAATGTAAGAGTGGAGAAGAAAAATCTGCACAGGAGAGAAAAAGAGGATCTGGCAACCACGTTAGATTTCATGACTACCTTCAACAGACGTTTCTGTTTTCTGTGGTTAGCCAATTACTGATTGTAAAATTGTGAGTTCATTCATATTTGCCCTGCCCTGACTGGGAATAGTCACCCACATGGAAATGTAGCATGAAGACAAATTATATTCACTGTATACTTGTCTATAATAATACGATACACAAACTAACTACTGTGTCCATGTTAGCTCATTATGGAAACCAGCCCATTTGCTGATAGGCTTTTTGAGAACTATTTGTTCTGTCATTTCTGAGACCTACTTAGGGCCATTCTTAACTATCTAAAGCATCAAAATACTTTGAAAGCAAGCCATTGGTAATATAAGTATCAAGTTACTACTTCTTACTGACAAAGATAAGTGAAAAAAAAGAATCCATTAGTAGATAGTTGTAAAAAGTTTAATTCTTTTAGAACTTTGAAAGGCAAAGTTGATGCCCTTGTTTTCTTTTGAAAACAGGAGGTAAAAAGTTGATCTCAGGTAGCTAACATATTGAGGTTTACTGTATATATGTTAGGCACTGTGCTAAGCGCTTCATGCCCATTATCATTTACTCCTCCCAAGAACCTTGTGAAATAGGTCACTTTTTTTTTTTTTAAGATTTTATTTATTTATTTGACAGAGTGAGAGAGAGAAAGAGCACAAGAAGGGGGAGTGGCAGGCAGAGGGAGAGGGAGAAGCAGGCTCTTCCTAGGACCCTGGGATCACAACCTGAGCCGAAGGCAGATAGAAGCTTAACCGACTGAGCCACCCAGGCACCCCAGTAGGTCACTATTTTTATTTTATAGCTGAGGACTCTAAGGTTTAGAGAGAAAAGGTACACAGGTGGAACCTGGGGGGTTTTTTTGTTTTTTGTTTTTTTTTTAAGATTTTGTTTATTTATTTGACACAGAGAGACACAGTGAGAGAGGGAACACAAGCAGAGGGAGTGGGAGAGGAAGAAGCAGTCTTCCCACGGAGCAGGGAGCCCAATGCGGGGCTCGATCCCAGGACCTGGGGATCATGACCTGAGCCGAAGGCAGATGTTTAACGACTGAGCCACCCAGGCGCCCCGGAACCTGGTTTTAAACCTGAGTTTGACCCCAAAGCCTTGTTCTTTCTACCACACCAGCTTGCTGTCCTTAAAAAGCCTGTTAGTGACCTTTGCAATATTATAGGACACATTTTTGCATGGGGTTGGGAGTTGGGAAGAGATCCTCCTTAGTCACCAGCAAGGGTTCACTAAAACCAAGTCATGCACTATCCTTCTGGTTCTGGTGGATTGGTGAACTTGCTTATAGTAGCGGACCAACCCTCCTGCCAAGGACGACTAGGAAAGGAGGATGAATAGGAAAAAACATCTGTTTGATGGTGTTGGAAAATATCAAGATAGCCAGGATTGAGGAATTGAGATCCCAGAGAGGAAGGTACAAAATGTGAGACTGACGGTCTAAGCTGCTTTCTCCTTAATGCATTTATCAGTTTGTAAGTGGCACAGGCTGAGAGCAGAGAAAGAGAACAGAAATTGACTGTTAAGAGGCTAAGGAGCTAAGCAGAGCTATTGGCAGTCTCACAGTGCTAGAGAAATACAAATTCAAGTGCATGGCCAACCAAGGTGGCAGGGCTCTGGTAAAGGTCTTGGCTTCCAGTTGGGTCCTCTGAAGGACTACACTGAAGGAAGGAATAAGGGTAGAACACATATAGACTAGTCTTACAAAAAACTAAATTCTAATTAGATTAAGGTGATGCAATTCTATTCTAATTGCTTGCCAGAAGTTTAAAGAAATCCTTTCTGAAAAAAGAAAAGTCCTTTCTGGAAGAAAATACCTCATGCAGAACCTCTACAATTTTCCCTGTACAGTGTCCATCATTCATTCAGAAGTTACCAAGCATAATAAAAGACAGGAAAAAACAGGCACTAAAGATTCACAGGTAATTCAGATATTGGAGTTATCAAACTTGGACTCTAAGATAATAGTGGTCAGTGATTAATATGCACAAAAAATAAGTGACAAGGTAGAGATTTTCTCCAGGGAACTAGAATATATATAATAATGAATCAAATGGAAATTCTAGAACTGGAAAACCTAACAGCAAATTAAGAATGCAGTAGGAAATTCAACAGCAGATTAAACAAAGCTAAAGAGAGGATTTATGATCTGGAAGATAGGTCTATAGAAAATACCTAGACTAAAGTTTGGAGAGAAAAGGATAGAAAACAGAAAAGAAAAAAAAAAAAAGAGGCCTATGAGATATAGTAAAGAGGTTTAACATACATATAAATGGAGTTCCAGAATGGGAGAAGAGACAAAATGAGGCAGGAACAATATTTGAAGAGATTAGTAACTGAATTTTTTTTTTCAAAATTTATGAAATATTTCAATTCAAGAAGCTCTATAAACCCAAGCAGGATAAATTCAAAGAAAAACATACATTTTAATAAAACTGCTCAAAATCAAAGACAGATTACAAACAGACAAAGGGGTTATTATCTCTCAGAGATGAAGGTAAAGACATTTCCAAGCAAATAAAAATTGATAAAATTTGTTGCCAGCATTTAAAAAATTATAAAAAGGCAGGATTGTGGTTCTCAACAGCATCATGGAATATAGGAAGGAATAAGTAACAGTGAAAAAGGTAGATATGTGGGTAAATTAAATAAATATTGACTATAAAACAATAATAATGCTTTATGGGTTTAAAATACATGTAGAATTGGGGCGCCTGGGTGGCTCAGTCGTTAGGCGTCTGCCTTCGGCTCGGGTCATGATCCCAGGGTCCTGGGATCGAGCCCCGCATCGGGCTCTCTGCTCAGCAGGGAGCCTGCTTCTCCCTCTCCTGCTCCCTCTGCTTGTGCTCTCTCTCTGTCAAATGAATAAATAAAATCTTTAAAAACAAAGAAGAAAAGTAATTATATGTTGCTTTTAAGAAACATATCTTACATATGAGGACACAGAAAAAAGTAGAACCTAAAAATATAGGAAAAGATATAGAGAGCAAACATTAACACAAAGAAGCTGATGTAGCTATGCTGACATCAGAAAAAGAAGACTTTAAGGCAAGAAACTGTGAAAGAAATTGAATCTGTAATTAAAATCTTCTCTTAAAGAAAATCCATGCCAAGATGACTTCACAGTGAGCAAATTTTCCCAAATATTTGAGGAGGTAATAACATTAATGATATAAAATATCTCAGAGGACAAAAAGCAGGAAAACATTTCCCAATTTATTTTATGATTTCAGTAATCTTGGTCCACTGTGGAGTTCCCCTTGGCTATTCTGTATGGCTTAGAACTAGAGTTTACCTCATACCTTTAATATGCTTACAGTTCCTCAACAGATATTTAGCACATGTCATATCTTGTTCTCTTTACTCAGTTCAGCAGATATACCCCATGGCAAAAATGATTCAGTGACACTAAATTATTCTCCCTCATATGTACGCTGGCCAACTAGCATAGAACAGTATTCCAGAAAAGAGAGATTTTTGCTGAAAGAATAGCTTCTTCCCCATTCCCTACACTGCAAACTGATAACAGTAAGATTTAAGTTAATTTGTCTGTTTGCTTGTTTTTCTCCTACAGACTCCATTAATAATATACCTCTTTCATTTCCTGATTGACTATGCTGAATTGGTATTTATGGTAAGTAACCTTCCACATAAAGTCAATATGTGTATATCTTTAGAGTCTTTTATCTTTTTTTTTTTTAAGATTTTATTTATTTGTCAGAGAGAGAGACAGAGCACAAGCAGGGGAGAGGCAGAGGCAGAGGGAGAAGCAGGCTCCCTGCTGAGCAAGGAGCCCGATGTGGGACTCGATCCCAGGACCCCGGGACCATGACTTGAGCCGAAGGCAGCTGCTTAACTGACTGAGCCACCCAGGCGTCCCTAGAGTCTTTTAAGAAAAATATCTTTTAGGAGCTTAGGAGTCTCTGAGAGTATAAAAGCAAAAACCTATCCTTAATTTGAATTCAAGGAACTCTGATAGTATTATGGAAGTACGGGGAGTAGTCTCTGACAGTTGACCAGTTCCAATTCCTTGTACTTGGTTTCTGGACTATGTAGTCTCAAACTTTGTAGCACCAAGATTCTATGATTGGTTTTAATTGTGGTGCCAGTGTAGAGGGCATCCTGAATTTTCTAAGCATTCTGCCAAGAGATTCCATGCAGTGGACATAGGCCTGATGAGACTCTCAGGAGCAATAACCTTCAAAGTTGAGTTGACAGGGTGGTTTTGAGAGAGAGTAATTTGATACACTTGCCTAGCGTAGGGTTGGAAATCTGGGTCAAGTAGGAGGCCCGCTGAAGTCTTCCTTAATCATTATAATGGCTGCTGTTTACTGAGGACTTACTTCATGCTAGGCACTTGACGTACATCAGGCCTGCAAAGCACTGGGTGTTATTCCTGTTTTACAGAAAACCTAAGTGACTTGCAATTAAAGAACAGATGTGGTACACCAGGCTAACAAGCCTTGGTGGGTGCCAGTCCTCAGGATTTTCTAGTCAAATCTCCCTGAAAGGCTTTATCTTTGGATGGTCAAAGTGAGAGTTGAGGTTCTGCCTGAGTTCATTACCAAATAGTCCACTACCATCCAAAAGCTGTAGGTCCTGGCAGCATTCCATCCCTCCTACACTAGTATTTCTCTTTCTCTTGACAGATAACTGATGCACTCACTGCTATTGCCCTGTATTTTGCAATCCAGGACTTCAATAAAGTTGTGGTAAGTAGTCAGTGGGTGGAGTTTTGGGGAGTCTTCTGGTCTCTGTTACTACAAAGAATCAAAGGTCATGTACTTAAGGATCCAACTGTTTAAAAATACTAAGTAGGAGTGAAGCTACTGGCCTGTTAAGCCAGCCCTGGAATGGTCAAACCCGAACCAAAGACAGCTTTACTAATAGATACAGAAAGGTCAGTTTCATCTGTGTAGCTTAATATCCATTCACTTGTGCAAGTTCAGACTTTCTGGAGCAGAGCTGAACTACAATAATATTAATGAGGACCCTTAAAAATCTTCTTTTCATGAATACAGCTTTTAACTGACTGTGTTATGCCTATCTGAGGTAAAATTGGATTCCCAATGTAGTTTCTGTTACCCTGCAGAGAGCAATCTTACTTGGAAAATTTGGCATGTAGTAAATGCCTGTAGAAAGTATTGATGTAAACTTTAGTCTTAATCCGTATGTGATGGCCAAGGGGAATGGTATATTGTGACCATTTTCATTTTCCTGGGTTCTGAGAGAGTTAACAGATTAACCATATGCACTATCCATGTAGTTATTTTAAAAATTGGCTGCAGTCCTCCTTGATTGGTTGGGAGCCACTGAGAAGATTTAGACTGGAGTGAGAGAAGGCTGCATCTCTTTGGTGTTGTCTGTTTATCGTTCATTTTCACTTCTGTTGCCAAGTAATGGAACCAGAAGTAGCAGTCTGCCTTTCTGTGGCACTGGTCATTAGTAACAAAGCTGGTGAATTCTAGAATTATGGACCTCAAAGAGACTTATAAGATACTTAGATTGGGAATTTTTAACTTGGGGTCCGTTTATAGGCTTAATAGGCCTATAAAACCCTTGAAGTAGGGTCACCTGGCTGGCTTAGTTGGTAGAGCTTGTGACTGTTCATCTGAGGGTTGTGAGCTCAAGCCCCGCAGTGGGTGTAGAAATTAGTTTAAAAAAAAAAGAACTACATTTTAGAGACTTATCACTAAGACCCAGTGAGTGTACATCTTAAACCAGTGGAGCATTTGGGTCAACATAGATAAACCTAAGGGCATTATGCTAACTGAAGTCAGACAAAGACCAATGCCGTATGATCTTACTTACACGTGGAATCTTAAAAAGTCAACCTGGGGGGTGCCTGGGTGGCACAGTTAGTTAAATGTCTGGCTCCTAGTTTCCATTCAGGTCCTGATCTCAGGCTCATGAGATCGAGTTTTGCGTCGGCACATGCTCAGTTCAGAGTCTGCTTAAGACTCTCTTCCTCTGCCCCTCCCCTGCCACACTCACACGAGTGTGCACTCCCTCCCTCTCTCTCTCAAATAAATCTTAAAAAAAAAAAAAAAGTCAAACTGGGGAACCTGACTGGCTTGGTTGGTAGAGCATGCCACTCTTGATCTTGGGGAAGTGAGTTCAAGTCCCACATTGGGTGTAGAGCTTACTTTAAAATAAATAAATAAGGGGCGCCTGGGTGGCTCAGTCGTTAAGCGTCTGCCTTTGGCTCAGGTCATGATCCCAGGGTCCTGGGATCCAGCCCCGCATTGGGCTCCCTGCTCCTCAGAAAGCCTGCTTCTCCCTCTCCCACTCCCCCTGCTTGTGTTCCCTCTCTCGCTATGTCTCTCTCTGTCAAATAAATAAATAAAATCTTGTAAATAAATAAATAAGTCAAACTCACAGAAACAGTATATTGCTGGTTGCCCAGGGGGTGCATTTGGCGGTGGGGGAAATGGGAAGATGTTGGTCAAAGGGTACAAACTTCCAGTTATAAGATGAGTAAGTTCTAGATATCTAATATATGGCATGGTGATTATAGTTAATACTGTATACTTGAAAGTTGCTAAAAGAGTTATCTTAGGGGGCGCCTGGGTGGCTCAGTCGTTAAGCATCTGCCTTCTGATCAGGTCATGATCCTGGGATCCTGGGATTGAGCCCCGCATCGGGCTCCCTGCTCCACGGGAGGCCTGCTTCTCCCTCTCCTGCTCCCCCTGCTTGTGTTCCCTCTCTCGCTGTGTCTCTGTCAAATAAATAAAATCTT